GGATCCCACATGATACAGAGAGTGAACCAGTTCTCTGACCTCCACGTGTGCACCAATGCGTGTGTCTGCCGGCATACACACACGTGCACACACACACACACACACTTAAAATGATAAATAAATTTAAAATTTACAAAAATATAGGCTTTCTCTGCAAACAAAAGTGAAACAGCATTGTGGCAACCGCCTCGGCAGGGAGTGAGAAGCTGCTGCCGCATCCTCAGATTTCTTTAGTTCTCCTGTAAAATCATCAGAGCGTTGTCCTCTTCCCATGTCCTAGGGATCTGGCCAGTCTCCCCGTTCCACAGCTTTGTCCCTTACTTACAGCCCCTCCAGGAGCGGCACGGGTGTGCTGCCTGTGTCCTGGGGGTCCGGCAGATGGGACTCAGATCCGCCTGGAGAGAAACTGGGTGGGGCAGCTGACAGCACAGTGTGATTACGATCAGGTCCCCCAGCCTTGTCCCTGGGGCCTCCTGTCCCTAGAGTCCCTCACTGGCTTGTCCCCCTGCGGCTATGGGGAGCTGCTGTAATGCCCACCATCAGAGATAGAGAAAGGTGGACGCCAGAAACCCATACAGTGAATGCCTACAACACAACAGGACTCTGGGAAAGTGACGTGGGGAGGGGGTGTGTGATGGTGGTCTGCTAACCTGTCGTGTCCCAGAGAGGCCAATGCTACTCAGGAAAGGGCTTTGCAGGTCCCTGTATCCCCAATCTTAGTGAGATGGCCTTTGTTAGAGAACAAACTATATTCAGCTGCGTTCAGCTGCGGTCTCCAGATTATGGCAGAACCGACAGTATCCGTGTCTCAGTGCTGTGCCTGTGGAAGGCTCACAGCGCAGTGTGCTGCCCACAGCTGGTGGGGACGCTGCTGGGCATATGCTTGCCCACTGGACAGCACGCATACGGCTCCATCCCCATCCGCCGCCTTTTCCTGACAGTGGGAGCAGACAGCTGCTCCTGCTTATGCGTTTATCACTCTCTCCATCATGAGCGTAAATTCCAGCAAACAAAAACAAGTTTGCTGGAACACAGCTTGCGATGTCACAGCAGCAGTGGTCTCAGACCTCTTCCTGGTCCTCCTGGTGTACCCAGAGGCCCGACCAGGGAGCTCAACCTGCCTCGTCCAGGTGTCCCAGTCACCCCAGGGAAGTCACACGGTAATGAGTATCTCAGAGATTCTCACTGCTGTTCAATGACCAAGCCTGTCATTGACACCAAGTGTCATGAGACCAAAGCCGTAAGCAAGGGGAAGCATGTGACATCAGCAAGCCAATCTATGGGGAAAGAGCACTGAGCCCTGTTTGGACACCTGCCCTGTGAGGTCACACTCCTCGTTCTCTGCTCAGTCCTTTTCTCCACTGCCAGTCCTTGTCTGAGCGAGGGTCTCGGGGACTGTGAGTGAGTTCCCGGAGCAGACAAATGTCAATCGTGACAAAGCACAGATTTCTTTTTTCCATCAGAAAATCTCAGGCAAGTTATTCGACTCCCTCCCCCATCACCACATAAGCTGGTTACATTCTAGATTAAACACACAGAAGGTCTCCTTTACAAAAACACCTGAAAAATCAGCAAGGAAACTGGGACTTCGGAGAGAGCTGGCCTGGCAGCCAAGCCCTTTGCCAGGCTAGGCACACCAGGGACCGGGGCCAGAAGTCAAAGACCTGCTCTGACCCAAGACGGGGCACAGAGGACACCTTGCAGGGCGTGACTCCAGCCCTTAAGAAGCTGTGTTTGCCCGATGACTCACCCACAAAAATACATCACCATTGCCTGGGAAACCCAGGAAACCCCAAAGTGGGTGTGTCCTGAGCTGCCCAGACAGGTGAGGCCTGGAGCCTAGGGAATCAGCCACAATGACTCTGTGGACCAGTGTTACTTTGACACAGACTGTGGACAGTGGCACCCATGTAAAAGAATGAAAACAACCAAGTGGGGCAAACACACCACACACACACACACACACACAAAACCATAGAGACAGCCAGAGCCATCATGCCTAGTTAAATATCGGAGCTGACAAAGATAATCGAGCAACAGTTCTCACTGTGTTTAAAGAAATAAAGCAGGCAGGGAAGTCGCTCTTGGTATCAGAATCTATAAAAAGAGAGTCAACCTATTTTAAAAAGATTGAGTAGGATTTCTGCAGGTAAAAGTCAACGTCTACAGGTGAAGGTCATATTGGACACAGAAGAACTCGCTCTAGGTACATGGGAGGCTATTATCTGTCATGGAACTCTCCCCCAATGCCTTTATAAGACCAACTTGTGGGACCTTCTTTGAATGGAGAAAGCCATTTTTGTGCAGGGCTCATAGCCCAGAGTCCCTAGCGCCACGGCCTGCCATATGCCTGAGTTCTCTCTGGCACAGGTGGGCTCTGCAGGCATAGACAAACAATACCACCTGGGTCTGGGACGTGCTGCAATGACCTTAACTCAGTAACTGAGCAGGAATTCGGGGGCACAAATTATGCAAGGATTCTGGAATGTAGGGTGGTTTGTCTCCCAACACTCAGCACAGCACTAGGCCACCTCCTTTTGGGTATCTCTGCAGATCAGAGTGCCCAGTAGCACTGAGATCAGTTGTCTCAGCCTCACGGAATCCCTGTGCTTCACAGCCCATCACCCAGTCCTTTTAAACACGGTGTTTCCCCCAAAGCCTTTGAGATTCCAAGGGCCATTCAGAGTGATATCTTTGGTGACCTGAGAACAGCCTTATAATTCCAGTTCTAGAAGATCCATTGTCTTCTTCCAACCTCAGCAGGGCTCAAGTATAAATATGGAGCATATACCATACTTGCAGACACTCACACAAACACAGAAATTAAAAAAAAACGTATATTTTAAAAGCTGCACACATTAGCTGCGTCCCACAATCTTCGATGTGGTTCTAATGCACGTGGTTAGTCTTCCCTGATCTCAGTTAACCCTTGTGCAGGCAGAGCTAGAATCTTGTCAGAGCAGGGACACTGTCTTCTTGTGCCCAGCTTGGGGCAGCTGTCCTACAGGAGGCACTAGCCTTGGGAAGCCGTCAGTAGAGTGTCGTCACTCAGGACAGCAAGCCTCTGAGAGCCAAACAGTTCATGGCCAGCAACTCTCTCTAAGGTGGTTCTGTGGACTCTGAGTGAGGGCTCCAGGGGACTTCCAGAGCATCCTGCTGGCAGGGAGGAGCGGGAGTGAGCGACGACACTAGGCAGGAGAGTATCCTACGAGAGGATGTTCTTCAGGAAAATCGGAGCCCCTTGTGAGGCCAACACCACCAGGTCTCCAGTTCCATGACAAGGACACAAATCTGGAGAGGCTGCTTATTTTGGGTTGACTGTGTTCCCCAGAGCGTATGTGTTTGAATACATAACCCCAGGATGACAGGACTTCTTGCAGAAAGAGGGGCTGAAGACAGTCACAGCAGAGGGATGATTCAGTGTCACAGGGAAAAGGCTGATGTCGACTTGCAAAATTGTCTCCAAGCCTTTGGTGTTGCTGCAACAGGAAGCTTGAGGCTTGGTAGTTTATAAAGACAGGAGGTGTTGCCAGGCGGTGGTGGCGCACGCCTTTAATCCCAGCACTCGGGAGGCAGAGGCAGGCGGATCTCTATGAGTTCGAGGCCAACCTGGTCTACAAGAGCTAGTTCTAGGACAGGAATCAAAAGCTATGGAGAAACCTTGTCTCGAAAAATCAAAAAAAAAAAAAAAAAAAAAGGCAGGAGGTGTTGCCCATGGACCAGGAGGCAAAGGCGCTGGCAAATCAATGTCAGTTTCTGGCTCACCGAAGACCTCTTCACCTGGCTAAAGGAGCTAGCAGCTCTGACTGCGCCCTCCCACCTCATCACCCAGCACCCCGCCTCCTGTCACGATTGCTCTGGAGCAGGATTTCTGCCCGTGAGTTTGGGCAAGGCACAAGCATCACTGCAGCGAATCCTCCAGACCTTCTCTAGTCTCAGGTCCCTGGTCCTCTTCTGCAGCTTCTATGGCTTGAGAGGCCCCAGGGACCTCCTGAAGATTGATCCCAGATCCTGCACAGTTCAGGCATCCCAGGCCTGAGAAAAGTCCTCAGAAGCTGAGAGGTCCAGAAGATAGCCGTAAACATGTTAATGAGTCCCTGCCACCTGTTTCTGCATGTGGGGACCCTCCAAGGCCCCTCCAGTAGCCTTAGCCTAGCTTCATCCTGCCCACAGAGAGAAATGGTTTGATGTGATGAGAACCACAGCTCCTCGCTCCCCGACTGCCCTTACTGATGGGAGAAGACAGGCTCCTGGGAGCAAGTGTCCCCTGTGCTCCAAGTCCAGTCTTGGGGAGCCCAGGGCGGCCTCCTGGTGAGTGCCGGTCAGGCTGGAGAGGGACACTGCCCGTGCATTTTGCCTTTTCCTTTAGCTGCATCTTAAAATAACACCTGTAGGTGAAAACAATCCAGGCATGCAGTGAACTGGCAATGGTGAATGTTACAGTCTGCCCAAGATGTGTCTCTGCTCCATCACGGTTACTCTAAGACACCAAGAAAGGATTTGGGTCCTTCCATCACTGTCAGAATCATCGCAACCCCCAGCATTGCAGTTCTGGCACATTGTCAGATGCTACCATCCCCCAGCGTCCATTTCCGTCAGCTGTTACCGAAGGTGCTGGACTTCAGCTGGGATTTTAAGGATCCTTCCAGCTTTTACCCAGAGCCTGGTCCTCAGACTCTGTGGGTACCTCCTATGGAACAAAGTGTTCAGGTATTCAGACAGACAGCTTGTCCATCGCGGAGTTTATGATTCCATTAGAGACACGTGTGGAGAATACGCAAGGCAGTGTTGGCCAAGGTCTAACATGAGTGATGGGCCTAGCTCGTGCTCGCTGCCAGGTTCAATCATGGTGCTGGCTGTCCTCTCTTGAGTCATCCAGTCTCTTAGCTTCAGATTTTCATGAGAAAATCTTGAATTATGTCCTCAGAAGAGCATAAAATGTGTAGAATCACCACTACCATCTGTCACTATTACTGTCTTTCCTGGTGATTTTTTTCAAGGACGATGACTGAAGAAAAAGACAAAGGATACCCCGTGAGGGCAGAAATCTTGGGTGACACGATGCCCAAGTCGAAGGCTCACTCCTCTCCTGGTCGGCCCTGGCAGCGTCTGAGGATATCAGGTATTTACGGTCACCTGCTTCTCGGGGTGGCGTTCCAGTCACTGCCCTTGCCGGACTCTAGCCTTTCTCCTCCGTGCGCCCCATTCCCTCCTCTCTGGGCAGAAGCAGGCAAGACAAAGCTTCTCCACAGCACCGGCCCCGTGCTCATTCCCACCGTCCTTATCAGCAGCCGGGGAAACAGCCTGCTGCTCTGTACCACCCAGTCCACAGATCCATCTATACAGCTGTCTAAACAAAACTGGGAGGAAAACCTCGTTTGTTTTTAAGGGAGCCAGGAGAGTTTAAATCGAGCAGAATGCTGACCTTAGCATTAAAGTTTGGGGTTAAGATGACAGAGAGGCAGGCAGCTGACATGCTGTTGCTGGGGTCCTTGTGATGTTCTGGGTTCTGTAGAGAGAGCAGAGTCTCTCTCTCTCTCTCTCTCTCTCTCTCTCTCTCTCTCTCNTCCTCTCCTCCTCCTCCTCCTCCTCCTCCTCCTCCTCCTCCTCCTCCTTCTCCTTCTTCTCCTGCTCCTCCTCCTCCTCTTCTTCCATTTTTCCTGACTTTCCTTTCACAAACGCAGATGTCTTGTGTCAAAGTTGGCACTTGCAGAAGGAAGGAGGGACAGGAACCCTTTTGCTGTTTTGGCTCTCTAGAGCCCCTGCCGTGCCAAGTGAGGCATATGCCCTGGCGACCCATCTCCAGAAGAGGAGGCTCACCCAGGCCGGCGGGACAGGGTGGAGAGGGACTCCCGGTCTATGCTCCACACTATTAGCAGTCTAGACTTTAAACTTCTGAAGCAACTTCCATTCAAGGGCACTAGATGTGAAACTCAAAGCTAGTGTAGGCTGCTCCCTGAGGGTTGTGGAGGAAAACTCAAGGCATAGTGAAAGCCAGGGCACTGTTTAGCTCTTCGCTCAAGGGCACACTTGGGGGTAATCACAGCAGGTGGCTTAGTGGTGGGAGTAGCTTGATCTCTCGGTTACAGATGACAGAGCCCTCCCCAGGGTTTACCAAGCCATTAGGACTACCCCAGGATATCAATGACTCTTAGAATCCCAGAAAAGACAAAAACTAGCAGATCCCATGGACATGGACCTCTGAAGGAGTCAAATGATGTTCATCTTTGAGGCAGTGAGCAAACTTTCAGAAAGAAGCAGCATAAGCAGAAAACCCTCCCAAGGTACTCCGATCTGAAACCCCACTGGCCTTACAGAGTTGGGACCAGCTACCTCTTAGATTGTGCTCTCCTTGGTCCCACTTGGACTTTGTTGTCTCCAATGACTGCCTGTTCCATGCACCTAGCCTCACTATGGCACGTGCACAGACCACAGAGGATGGTGTGTTTCCCTGGATTCTGTGACCCTCACTGTTCTCTGGTCTGGCTTTGTGGCTATGTTCCTTTTTCCTTTCACGGGCTCTGGGGACCACTGAAACTTCCTCAGATATCACAAGCTGGGACTTCTCTCAAATATCACAAGCTCTGCTGGCCTTCCTGAAGCTGGAACTTGGGGTAAGATTACATCTCGGGCTTGGGCAGGCAGGCAGTTGGGGAAGCTGGTGCAGACATGGTACCCTGATGAAAGGTTCCACAGCCCTCACTTGGTGACTCTGCTTTCGTGCCCTGGTTTCCCACAGCGCCATCTGGGCCAAGCTCCCTTCCATCGCTGTCTTTACCATCTCAAAGACAGAAACCTTTTGGTGTTCTGGCTTTTTAGAGTCCCCACAGTGCTAAGGCAAGCCAGGTGGGGAGGATGCCTGGGTCATTTGTCTGGGGAGCTGTTCCAACCCCAGAGCCAGTCCTGCCCTCCTATGAGTTCAGAGCTGATCATTTCCAGGTTGGATAGACTCGAGGGGCTGCAGTTCTCAGCCCATGGTGAATTCAGATAACCAGGAAGCTGGAGCAGCGAAGACTCCAGACCATTCAGGGGTGTCATTATGTCTGAGATGAGGACCCAGGACCTGCATTTTAACCACCTTCTCAAAGATGCTCAATGAAGGTGCTGTTGGCCTCATTTGGGGAAACAGATTTAGAATTACTCCACGATATTCCAGCAAAGCCCGGACACCAGAGACAAAAAGCATGAAGAACTCATCACCAATGGGCTAATTGTGTCTTTGCCTCCTATATCCTGACGCTTTAGCACCTGGGTCTTGCTGACATTGGAGGACGTCCTCCGGTCTCTTGACTAGTCATAGCGAGTGACCCACCTTCCTACTCACCTGTCACGTGCCAGCTTCCGCCCACCTGTCCTTGTCAGCCAGCACAAGGACCAGACCAGTAGGAACTGCCCTGTGTCCTGGAGCCCTGAGCACATCCCACTACCCTGTCACTCCTCGAGTCTTCCCAGCAACCTCAGAGAAAGCTGTGTCTGGTGACTTCTCTGTGCCTTTCTCAGAGGATAAACGCGGCAATTAAACATGCTGGACTTCTAAGTGCTTGGAGCAGTGCCTGGCTCACAGAGAGGATTAGGTCAGTATCTATTATTATCCTCATTTCACTAATGGGGAGACAGAGGCAGAAACAGGATTAAGTCACTTGCCAGGATCCACAGCTTCCATTGAGCTGGACGGGTGCCACCTTCTAGCCATAGAGCTGGCATTTTATTACGCCAGAGAAAGCCATCGTGACTGTGTTTAATCACATGCAGCATTTCGTTTCTTTTGACTCTCCCTGAGTAATACCCAGCGTAGCAGACACTTGTTAAATGAATGAGGGAGGTTTGTCACAGTCAAGTGGCTTGGCTGGGTCCTGAAGAGCTGCTGCAGCTCTCCTCTGCTCTGAGCAGCGAAGGGTGGTGAGACTGGGGGTGTGGCCGGTGGGCAGTACAACGGGTTCAGTGCTGATGCGCACAGCTCCACTGAGCGCGTGAGCGCTGGCTTCAGCAGGGTGCTAGCTCCATTGTGCTGTGCAGGGCCGACCAATCAGGCAGAGCCTAGAGCTTATAACCTCTGGCACGGAGCTCTGTGGTTTGCACAAACACGAATGAAGAAGGCCTAGGCTCCTGGGGGAATTGGCAGCGTCTGCCGAGTGATGAGAACACAGAGAGACCAGAGGAGGGGGCAGGGGATTCCTAGGTCCCTCTCTCCCTTTCCTAAGAACTGAGCTCATCAGAAATGGAACTTCTTTTTCCTCCGCTTTTCCTTGTCATTTAAGCTTAACAGCGAATGCCTTTCAAAGTGAAGCGTGCCTGGCACAGCTCAGCTCTGAAAACCCTGCTCTTCCTGAAGATGCCACATGTGTGGTTCCTCAGCAAAGAAGTTTGGGTTAGAGAGGGCACAGGTGTGCCACCAACTTGGTGCCTTTTACTGCAAAGCAAGGTTCCCGCTCCTTTTCCTCTGGGAACGCCAGGACTGAGGAGGGGCTTCTGGGCCATTAGAGGTCATCAGAGGGAAGAGTCAGTCCTGGTGCCCATACCTACCTGCAGCCTGAGTAGGTGATGGACGGAGGTCAGAGACTGAGGTGGGTGGATTGGTTTCTGCCCACACCTACAGTACATCTCACTGTGGGGATCCCCCGAGGCAAAAACAACTCAGTGAGAAACCTTTGCAAAGCGAGTCTTCAGATGTCTCTGATAAAAACCACTCAGGTAGATTCCTCTACCTGTCTCTAGCCAACTGTCTGGAACTTCAACCCTGAGAAGCACTTAGAGTCCTCTTACCAGTGTCCCTCACTTGGACCCCTGCGATGACCTCAGCTTCCTCACTGACGGCTGCTCCTCACTGGGCCTGTCACTATCAATGGAAAGATGACTTTCCATCCAGAACAAATATTTACAGTCCAGAGCTCTCAGGTTTGTTCCATAGCTCTGCTGCCTTTCAGGGTTCACATTGCCCTTCCTCAGAACCTTTAAATACACTCTTTTTTCTTCTAGAAGCTTCTCTGTCTTTCATACTCTGCTCCCTACCACAGTTCCCTTCTCTGATCTCCCAGGGTTTAACTCCAACTTCAAATTTTGAAGCTTCCCTCCTTCCAAGACAAGGGTAGGCCACAATACGCACTGTCATTCTCACGGGCTTTCCTTACAAACTGTCTCCCAAAAATGAGGGGGCACTCAGACATTTCCAGAGAACAGACTCTTAGGGATAAACAGATAATAGTCCTGTGCAGAAATCTTCAGGTCAGTGGCAGCGCACTGGACAAAGACCTGCGGCTGTGTGGAGGATCACAAGTGATTCTCCCGGGTGAGTGTGAGCAGCTACAAGCCTGGTGACCTGGTTTGTAACCCCACGTGTGTGAGATGAACGCACAAAGAGATCACTGGCCTGATGTGTAACCGTGTTGTTTTGAGATGCCAGTAACTAAGCAGGGCAGACAGGAACTGCACAGGAGCCAGGATTTTGTATGTACTTGGCGTCAGGTTGGTATAAATTCACATCGCAAGGTTTTCATTTTAGGGTGTAAAATGCAGTCCCCATGGAAACCTCAAAAATAGCTATAGAACACATGCGTATGGAAATGAGAAGGGACCAAAGTGGCTCAGCAGGAAAAAAAAAACATACTCGTACCACTGTAACGCAGGAAGAGAGACAACAGCATGTCCACAAGGCAAACAGGAGACAGAGGATGGAATGTCAAAAGTCTGTGTATCCGTCCGTCCGGTCGCTTCAGATGTGAGCGGATGAGATTCGCCAGCCAAATGCTGGAAACTGGCAAAGGCCATAGAAAACGCAGGGTCTAACTGTCTGCCGTCTGCAAGAGACTGAGGGTCCAAGGACCCAGCGAGACTTAAAGGGAAGGGGTAGAAAAAGATATTCCACACAATTCACTGAGCAGTGTGGATAAAGTAAGCCTTCAAGAAAAGCCTTTGAATTCAAATTTCGTGTTTGAGAAGGATTACAGGGACAAAAATGACATTTAATCAAATCAACCCGGCAAGGTGTGAAACCTCAGCTTTCTAGGAATCTAGCAGACCAGTGAAATAAAAGACGGGGAAACCTCTCTGCTGGAAGGGAGGAGCAGGCAGCTCCACAGAGGCAGGTGGAGGCTTTAATGCCTAATGCTCCGTGGGTTTTGGAACTGACTGAGGAGGGAAGTGAGTTGTAAACAACACAACACTTAGCTAGACCTGGTCAGTCTGTGCAGAGTGTACCACCTAAAAGTAGCGTGAACTGGGGTTTTGTAGGTACTTGGAGTTAGAGTGATATAAATTCACAGTACAAGGTTTTCATTTAGGGTGAAAAATGCAACTCTGTGGAAACCTCAAAAAAAAAAAAAACGGCTGTAGAGTATATATACGCAGGAGGCTCTGCCCAATAACACCAATAAGGGTCACAAGAAAAACGTGTAGATTCTAAAAGACGTTTGTCCTACCAAGAGTCTTCTCTGCAATGAAGCTAAAAGCCAGTAACAGAAGAAAAATTGGAAAGTTTGCACATCTGTGGAAATTAAATGACACACTCCTATAGATAACAGCTCAAAGAGGAAATATAGGAACACATGAAAAGCTGTTTAACACCAGGCATCACTGGAAAAGGCAAATCAAAATGCACAAAGAGTCTTTGGTATCTTGTATCCATTAGGATGATGGTAATCAAAAAAGAAGAGGATAAAAGATAAAAGAGGAAGTTGTTTAGAGCTAAGATGTGGGGGTCACAGCCTACTGTCCCTGAAGGTGGCATGCAGGAGACTTGGGTTCTGGCGTGGTGTTGGGAGATGGTGAGCTTTCACAGGTGGAGCTTAGTAGGCGGTGCTGGGTCATGGGCACTGCTCAGGAAGGGATGAAACTCTCGGAGGGTTGCTATGGAAACCTGAGCTTAAGCATCAGGTTAGTATTGATCTGAAGGTCATCACATGATGTTCATCTAGTTCCTTCTAGTTTTCCTCGTACAGAGAAGGCGACTTTCACCTGAGCGTGACCTTCTGCACAGCTGCAGGGCAGGAGGTGGGGCTGGACCCAGGTGGACAATCTTTTCAAGAGTCTGGAGATTGCAGAGGGTCTTCTGGGGTGGCCTTGTAGGATAAGAGGGAATTCAGTTTGTTTGAATACACTACACTGCTTGTTTGTTGTGTCATCTTGGACCGACAACTTGACTTCAAGGGGCTTCTGCTTTCTATCAAAACATGGCGCACACACCTTTCTAACTTGCTGCTGTGTGTGTCTACTTGCTTGCCGATGGGTGCAGAAGAGGTTATGGTGATGGCAGTCTGCATGTTTCACTGGCTAAGGCCCCATCAGCTCATCAGACAGCTCATGCTCTGAATTTATTTTGCACTCAGCATGAAGCTACATAAGTCATCAAGAGACGCACGTGTTCACAGGAGAGCAGACTGCAAAGCCATATATATGCTAAACAGAGAGCAGTGGTTATTCTGATTGCTTATAATCATGAGTCAAGGTGGGGTGATACTGATGCTAATCGGCTCATACTTTGTGTTTTATTTTCTGATTGGTCCCCACCATCTTGAGTGGAAATCTCTCACAACAATCCTGAGTAGCTGGATGCATAGAGCCAGGATCAAAGGGCTTCTCACAACCATACCAACCAACCAAGGCCTGGTAAGAGAACTGTGCCAAGCTCTCCTGCTCCCTTTCAGTCCCCGTGGAGCAGTGATGACCTAGAATGTACCTGTGGAAGACTCCGACTTGCCTCCCCCACTGAAGATGCCCATTCGTTCTTCACTCTGGGGTTAGTTCATTATCTCCAAGGGAAACAGGCTTCCCACTGCCTGGAAGAGGTGAATGGAGTGATGGAGGGTGAAGAAAAGGTGGTGCAGAGGCTGGAAAGGGGCTCTCCCCCACCAAGACAGCAAAAGAACTTGGGATCCCACATAGTTAAAGATCACTGGCATTGGCCCTGGTGGTGCAGGCCTGTGATTCCGGCTACTGAGAGGCTGGAGGGGGAGGATGGCAAGTTCAAGGCCTTCCTGGACTACAAAGTGAGTTCAAGACTTACCTGAATACCTTAAAAATTAAAAGTAAAAAGAGGGTTGGGTGTATGGCTCAGTAAAGAGATTGCCTCCTATGCGTAAGACCCTGGGTTCAGTGCTCAATTCTGAAAAAGGAAAAGACATTGAAAAATACTTCTGAAGTTAGGTTACTATGCAGTCATGCAATTTTATACCTAACTTAGGTGTCAAGAAATGGAAGGACATTTCAGCACCTTCATTCTCATTCTTTCGAACCAACCAAAAAATGCTACTCTCATGCAAAGAAAGAAAATATATGGATTAACTGTGGGTTTTTGTTTGTTTTTTTTGTTTTGTGTTTTTGAGACAGGGTTTCTCTATGTCTCTAGCTGCCCTAGAACTCACTTTGTAGACGTGCGCCACCACCACCTGGCTATGGATTAGTTCTTATTCTTAGATTTAATCATCCATGGACATTTGGATTATTGATTTTTAGGATTTAAAATTCTTTCCTCTTTAGAAATTCTTATGAGATGGAGTCTCGCTCTGTAACTCAGGCTGACCTTGGTTTTTCGCTCTTGCTGTAGCCAGCTTGATTCTAGACATGCAGCCCCGTGGCCAGCTATTTTCCTTTCATTAAGGAAGACGTCTACTTAAGTCTTTGTTGTGGTGGTTGAGCTCCTGGAGAAGTTTGGCTACACACTACACATGTGCATCTCCGTCCTTGAGTGTAAACACATATGCGGACACCCCTGCCAACAGACCATGCAGCGCTCCCTCTAAACAATGCGCTGCGTCTACTTCAATTTTTAGTTCATGCTTTACTTAGGTTGGCCACG